ACACACACACACACATTCTCACTGTTTCCTGGTGTAAGAGTCTTTCACTTGCTTTTATTCACTATCAGGTGTGTATGAGTCACATCTGGATCAGTTTTAATTTTTCACTCCTTCACGTCTGTATTTTCTACTCTGTCATTCTTTTATCTTTGCTTCTGTGTCTTTTTCTGTCTCTGGACAGGTTTTTCTCACATTTACCTGTTTTTTATTCTCTTTTTCTCTATTTGTGTATGCTCTTGTTGCTTCTTTGTGCACTCTCTTGTCTTGGCTGTGTTTGTGATTGTGTGTGTATGTGTGTTGTTGTATTCTGCTTCTAGCCGTTCCTCTCCATGCCTAGACCATGACAACAGCAGGTGATACTCTTTATTTTGGCTTTCTTTTTTACCCTTTCTTCTCTCCTCTGTACCCTAGCGTTTTTTCTCATTCACTATTAAATGATCTTCTCATTCCCATCCTATTTGTCTGCATGATTTCATAATGCAATGTTTTGTTAACTAAGTTATTTCATCCTTGATGCAGATTTTGACTCCCCTTAATATCAAACATCTGCTGATACATAGATCCAATAAACCACTGATACCTATTTGCTCCTTGACACATGAAACCCTCCAGAAAGAATCTTGTTCAGTGCCCTCCCCTTTGCTTGCCTGGCTTGCAAATTAAAAATTGAGTGGAATGAAACTGGAGAGGATTGAATACAATGAAAGAGAACAGACTCGAATAAAATATTATCTGCTGAGATGTGCTTGTTACTATATCAGTACTGAATGTTATCATAAAAAATGCTTCCTAACTGTAATGCCAGTTGCTTTGTCTGCATGGATGCTCACGATGAACATACCTAACATCAGAAATATTGCATTTAATAACAACCAGTTAAAAAAACTATTAATTTGATTTCTTGCCTGACCCTTTTCTTCAGCTTCCTGGTCAGCTTCATGGTAGATGCCAGGGGCGGGGCCATGCGCGGTTGCCGTCACAATGGCCTGCGAATCATCGTACCACCACGAAAGTGTTCTGCACCCACGCGGGTGACATGCAGGCTGGTGAAAAGACACCGTCTGGCCTCTATGCCTCCTATGGTGGAGGGTGAGGGGCTGGCTGGTCGCATCATAGAAGTGGGACCCACTGGAGCCCAGTTCCTGGGGTAAGTGTGTGTTTGAGTGTGTGTGTGTGTGTGTGTGTGTGTGTACCATATGTGTGTTTGAATTTTTGTGTATTTGCTTGTGGGAGTGTGTTTACACTGTTGTCTGGTGTGTTCATATTTTCTTCTTCACTCCCCCTCTGTGCTGCGTATGGATCAGTAAGCTCCACCTTCCCACAGCTCCGCCCCCTCTAAATGAGGGTGAGAGCCTGGTCAGTCGTATCCTGCAGCTGGGTCCTCCAGGAACAAAGTTCCTCGGGTAGGACCTTGGTTGGGGTACACCCTACCATCCTGGAAGTGGTCACATAATCACCCATATTTTTTCACCCTGTCCACCTGACTTTTTGTTTTTTTTTTTTTTACTTTGTTACCTTCCTTTGCTTCTTGGTACTATATAAGTGCAAGTTTTAGTCTAAAACCACCTGACTTGTTGCCTTGTGATTGAGTTATCCCCGTGCTTTCCTCAGTTTATAGTACCAATCCCCAGACTTGTTTCTAGTTGCATTCTGCTCCTGATGTGGAATGGATGTTCTCTATATGTTTAAACATTTTTAAAGGACTTTTTCATGAATATTTTTTTTTATTGGGCATGAAAATTAGATGTTTAAAAACTCAAATTTGAATCTTGTGTTCTTTTGTTTTGTTTGTTTTTTTGTTTTTTAGAGTCATGATTTAAGTCATACATAAATCAACCAAACATCACATACTTTTAAGTTCAATTTGTGTTTCACTTTACCTTATCACTCCTTTTAGGCCTGTGATTGTGGAGATACCCCATTTTGCAGCTCTGCGGGGCACAGAGAGAGAGTTAGTGATCTTGAGGAGTGAAACAGGGGAGAGCTGGAGGGAACACCACTGTGACTTCACTGAAGAGGAACTGAACCAGATACTTAATGGAATGGATGAAAGTAAGTAGCTAGACTGATGCAAAACAAGGGTTTTTGATGCAAAAAATACATAACAGTACAGAAACTTTAAGCCACAATATGATCACATTAAGCCATTACACAGGCCACATTCCTGCAGACTGGTGAAGCAGTACAAAGCTGCCTTTTAGATTACACTGCTGAGATAATAATGGGAAGCAAAAAGTAGGGGTAATGAATGATGGAGGAACACCACTAACTCCACTTTCCAGACTTCACGCAATTAACTGCTCATATGGTATTTATACTGAATGTTTATGATCTTCACAGAACTTGATTCCCCTGAGGAGCTTGAAAAGAAAAGAATATGCCGCATCATCACGCGAGACTTCCCACAGTATTTTGCAGTGGTGTCACGGATAAAGCAGGACAGTCATTTGATTGGACCAGAGGGCGGGGTCCTCAGTAGTACTCTTGTGCCTCAGGTCCAGGCTGTCTTCCCTGAAGGCGCCCTCACCAAGAAGATCAGAGTTGGGCTACAGGTACATACAGTGCATTTTTTGGCCACAGACACAACTCTATGAATTGTTCAAAGCTAAGGCAACCAATAGAGTTGTTAATACATTTTATACCTTGTTATAGGCTCAGCCCATTGATGTAGAGGTGGTGAGAAAGATTCTTGGTATGAAAGCCACATTCAGCTCAATTGTCACATTGGAGCCAAGACGGAGGAAGTTCCACAAACCAATCACCATGACAATCCCTATCCCCAAGAGCTCCAACAGTGACGGGCCAAGCACAGAGTTCAGTGGGGAAACCCCCACCTTACGTTTGCTTTGCAGCATTACAGGTAAGTTTGGGGAATAATCATCACTATCAATATCAGCAAACAATGAAAATACATCACACAGCTCATTATCAGCTACCACTAGCTATTTGTCGTAATGTAAGATAGTCAAAACTAACACTTACAATCCTCTGTAACATAATGTTATCTATGCAATAAAACATGTTATATTACATGTTATGAGAAGCCAATGCAGCTTTTCTGTAGAGAAATCATAATTTAGAGAGGTCAAAAATTATCATGAAAGGTTACGTAACAAATCATGGGTCTGTGTTTCAGGTGGAACCACTCCTGCCCAATGGGAGGACATCACCGGCTCTACACCTCTTACCTTTGTTAACCAATGTGTTTCATTCACCACAAATGTGTCAGCGAGGTAAATTAGCATTAAAATCGTATGTCCATCACAAAAAACATATTTTTTATGATGTACTCCTTTGCTTTATTTAGGTGATTGTACATTATAACATGAGTTCCATGAGTACTGCATACTGTGCAACTACGAGGTGATATCAGTAACTGACTGAAGTCTAATTCTTATTCCTAGATTCTGGCTGATAGACTGCAGACAGATCCAGGAGTCTGTTAGTTTTGCCTCTCAGCTGTACAGAGAGATCATCTGTGTTCCATACATGGCCAAATTTGTCATTTTTGCTAAAACACTGGACCCCATTGAGGCCCGCCTACGCTGTTTCTGCATGACAGACGACAAGATGGACAAGACCCTAGAGCAGCAAGAGAACTTCACTGAAGTTGCCCGTAGTCGAGATGTTGAGGTGTGTGATCATGGGGAATAAATAAGATTACAAGATTAGAATAAAATAGAAGCTTATGGAGAAAGTATAATGGAAGTGAATGGAAATTAAAAGTGAAGTTGGTGAAGTAGTTGCAGCGGGTACCTTACGCAACTCTAGAAAGAGGTTAACACAGCCTGCCAACTGGTTATTATTAATACAATTCATGTTCTTAACAAATCTGACAATACTGTTTTCCAAGACTTGAGATAGACCTTTATAGTTTGTTTAAATCATGAAAACAGCTCTTATATCCACACACAGGTGCTAGAGGGAAAACCTATATTTGCTGACTGCTTTGGAAACCTGGTGCCTCTTACCAAGAGTGGACAGCACCATGTGTTCAGCTTCTTTGCCTTCAAGGAAAACCGACTAGCTCTCTTCATCAAAGTATGACTACACATTGGTTAAAAATGTCTGACATTTCTAATTCAGAAATCCAGATGTGTGTAATTAATGGACTGAATTGTTGTTTAATTAATGGACAGATTAGAGACACAGCACAGGAGCCATGTGGTCGCCTGTCCTTCACCAAGGAGCCACGCACGTACCGTAGTCTTACCCACAATGCTATCTGCAACCTTAACATCACTCTCCCAACATACTCAAAGGTTAGTTTGAATATATCTCAATTTGTCTGTATATAATAATAGTAAATTAATTTTAGCTGCAGTAACTGCATTGTTTGCTTTCATTCTTTTATGCTTCTCTTTAGGAGTCTGATTCAGACCAAGATGCAGATGATGAGGTAAATAAAGTTTACTTGATAAAGTACTAAAACAAAGAAAGAATAATATAATTAGGTTGTAGCTAACTGCTGTCTTGTTCGCTTTTTTTGCAGAGTGAGAAGAGTGACAAGAAATGTAAGTCAAACTCTGTTGTTTTGCAATATTTGTGTCTCATGTTAGAGTGTAACCTTTAAACGTTTTTAGAATTTTGTGATTTTTTTACAGATATTTTTTAGAAATATGTTTATACATTTGAGAAATGTTACAATCCATTTTTCAATGGTTAGTGTTGGCACTGAGGGTACCTGAATATCATTTTTAGAAAATTATATATTGAGTTTATATTTATAATTATTAATTTATGATTGATTAATGTGTTTACAGTACAACACACTCTAATTTGGTGCCACATCAGTTGATCAACATAAGATTAATGGTCATAAAGGTCATAAAGGTTATAAAGTTAGTTAGTTAGTTAGTTAGTTTAGATCTGTGTGTGCTATAAAATGCACTGATTGATTTATTACTTTCCATTTGGATTAACCCTGCTCTTTTATTTTGCTCTACTAACACTGTGTATAGTCACATGTTTGTTACTGGCAGCTATGCTATGGCTGATGTACTCTGCATTCCCCTCACTTCACACTGACTTTCTCCCACCCATATCATTTAAATTTTCTGTAACTGACCCTTTGTTTTGTTTTTTAATGAATCATGAATGAAGGTCAAAATTATACTTTTTATTTAAGTAAACTCAAAATTGCTAAAAACAAAACAACAACAAAAAACAAAAACAAAAAACATATATATATGTATATATATATATATAATTTTTTACTAATTATCTTTTTAGATTACATTCCTGTAACAGATTATAGTAGCATGCTGAACGGACAACATCATGTTGTTTGTTCTTTGTTAAAGTGTGTAGATTTATTATTTTTATATTATTTTTATTATTATCCTTTATTTATATGAATTTGGCCACTGTTTTTTTAAGACAACTTCCTAAGTTGCTTTCATTCATTTATTTGGTTGCACTACAAATCATTTTTTTATATTTTCATCACTACTTTTTTCTGTATGTGACCTAATAGTGCTATAAGGTCACAAAACACAGTGAATCACTATATAACAACATTTACAAATCTAATCTGCAAGGATTTGATACCATGGAAAATGTACATATCTAAAGAAAAAGTGCTACTTTTTCAATTATTAATAAAATGAAGAATTTACTTATATATGATGTAATTTCTCAAAGTTAAGTGAAGGGAGTAAGTATTTTACATCGCTTACAAATACTAAGCACTGTAAAAATTTAAAGTGGACTCAAAAAATCTATTACCAATGACCTGATACTTTACATTAATTACTTACCTCACATCTCCTCTTACTTAAAACCCTCCATTAATTTTGTTATTGAGAGTTTATGTTTTATATATTTTAAAACTTTAATTTGTAGGCAGACATGACTCTTCATGTCAGCAACAATCTTGAGAAGTTTTGTTTGTCTGTTTCACTTCTTTTCTGTCCTTTGTTTCATATGTAGGTTCCTCTGTTCCCCTTGTTTTTTATATATATTTTGTGTTCAATTTCTGAATATGTCATCAAACAAATTAGATAAATATTATTCTTGTCCATATTTTACCTGTTTTGTTACTCCTCCTGGCTTTGCTTTTGCTGTTGCTGCTCTACTCTCCTTCAAACTCTTCTGGATCACTTTGTCATCTTCTTTTTGGTCTTTTTTTCAAGACTCCCTTATCTTTTGCCCTGTCATTCTTCTCCTTACTCTGTGAACTGAAGATGGATTTTTGATGGCATTGTCTTGATCACAGTTTTCTGATGTCTCTCTTCCCCACTTTATTTGTCCCTTATGTTCTTTACCCTTTTTGGTTTAATGAAACTTTTTTAAATTGAAGATGATGAATCTGAATCAACTGAGACATTCTCCCTGAGAACTAACCAACCTCTTGACCCTGCAACCCTCGCAAGCCCGGACCTGCTTTCAGACATGTCGGACATCAAAATATCTGCTTTTTTGCTTGCAGAGCAATATGAAGAGAGAGCTGGAGCAAGAGGGCTAGAGGAAAAAGTGCTAGATGCTAAAAAAGAGAAATGGGGTTCACTCTTTGAGACAAAGACTGTTGAAATAAAGTATTCCCCTGTCGAAGAACCAGTCTTTAAGGAGATTTGCATTGACAGACAGACTTCAAGTAGATCTGCCACTGAGGTCAGAGACATGACAGGCATAGTCTCACACCTTAGCATGGACATGGACCAGTACCTGGAACAGAGACCTGTAGTGACATGTGGTTCTCAAGAAGACCTTGTTCAAGATAGATTTGAGCAGGTTATTGTAAAGCGTGATGGCAAACGGCGTCCCCCAGATATCAAGAAACCTATTAGGAAGAAACTTAGAGACAGAGAGCGTTCTGGATGCAGCAGCTCTGAGGGTGAGCTGGAGAGAATGAGCTCTGAGGAGTCTTTAGATGGTGACGCTATTCTTAAAGAGAATGCCCTTGTACCCTGCACAACAGTTATTGATCCTCCAGCTTCTCCCTTAGTGGTAGAAGAACCTATTGGGTCTATAAAGGACAAAGTTAAAGCTTTACAGACCAAAGTCAAAGAGGAGGAGGTACCAGAACTAATTCCTCAGGCAAAATCTTCTATCGCCACAAAGAAGACTGAGGCAGACATGCCAGAACTTCCCAGAGTTCCCAAGTCTCCTAAATCCCCCAGATCTCAGACAGAAAGATTAGAGGAGACTATGTCTGTTAAGGATCTGCTGAGAGCATTCCAGACTGGACAGGACCCTTCACAAAATAAAGCTGGGCTTTTTGAACACAAAGCAGTGGCTTCTTCTTGTATTTCAACACTGATATCTGAATCAGGAAATTCTGAAGAGATACAGAAAACTAAACAGAGCCCTACGCAGGAACCAAAATCACAAACCCAAACTCAGGACCACACAATTTTTTATCAACAGAGTGATCTCAAGAATCGTGACGAAACAGACTTAGATGAACAATCTGTAACCTTAGTTAAAGACGATGAAGAGGAACCACAGTTAATTTCAGATTACATTGAAAAGACAGTAAATTTTGCTGATACAATTCAATGTGACAATGGAAGCCTTAGCCCACAGAGAGAAGCACCAGGGTTGTCACAGAAGGAGACTATGTCTGTGAAGGAGCTGATGAAATCATTCCAGACTGGGCATGATCCCTCAAAAACAAAACCAGAGCTTTTTGAACACAAAGCCAGAGATTCTAGTGTTTCAACATTGATATCTGAATCAGGAGATTCTGAAGAGATACAGATGGATGAACAAAGTCCTACACAGGAGCCAAAATCACACATCCAAACTCAGAACCTCACAATTTTCCACCAACAGAGTGATGTCAAGAAATGTGACAAAACAGACTTAGAAGAACAATCAGTAAGGTTAATCAGAGATAGCTCAGAGGAATCACTGTTAATTTCAGATAGTGCTTATGTTGGAAAGACAGTCAAATTTGCTGATACAATTCAACCTGACAATGGAAGTATTAGCCAACAGAGAGAGGAGTCAGAGTTGTCAGAGAAAGAGACTACTTCTGTGAAGGAGCTGATGAAAGCATTCCAGACTGGACAGGACCTTTCACAAAAT